GAAGATTTTGACTTCTTTAAGGAAACTTAAGGTCACTTGATAGCTTTTGGAGAGGTTATGAATTTTTCTTTGGTGGATATTAAAGATCAAAGTTTTTGTTTAAATACAGGAAGAAAACAATTTGCAAATTGCTCTAAACATGTATTTTCAATGAGAAAAGAGACAGCCTCCATTTTGAGTATTTCTTTCCTTCATCTGATTCCCATAAAAACGTATGGGCCTACCAATCCCCAATCTACATATCTACCATGAATGATGACTTAGAATTTTGAAACTGAAAGGTCGCTTAAACATTATAATCTACCTCCTCTTCAGCCCAAGTCTCCTCACCCCACCTCCATCCCACTTCTGCCAGTACTCCCATTTTCTCGATGAGGCAAGTGAAGGCCCGAAAACATAGTCAAGTCTCTTTCATCTTTTGTGTCCTCTTTCCTTGCTGTCCAATGTTACCTTCTCTTCCTAGTCAGATTTGTCCAAGAAATGTCTTACTTTCCTCCTCTCCTACTCATTCTTCATCTCATTCCTCTACTGACATGTCTATCTCAAAAAGATCATCTAAGAGCTCTTAGTTTCGTAGGCTCTATCTGATATCTGCCTGGTATCTCTCTCTGTTTTTGAACCCTTCTTCAGACTCCTTTTCCTTGAGTTCTTCTAGAGCCGTGCTCTGTAGCTTCTAACCATTTCTTCTTCTTCCAAGTCACTTTCCCCTCTCTTTCTCAGTTATCAGTTACCTTGAAGCCACCCTGTAAGACCATTCTTTGAATTTACAATTCCACTTGCAACTTAATCATCTCTACTGCACAACTACGTTTACTACAGGTCACAGAAATTTTATGAAAACATTCTGTTCAATTTCTTACATATTTTTAGAATTTTGTTTGTTTTTTAAATTACACAAGCAGCCATTCTGTTACTTCTTCTCAAAAGAACTCTTAGACCAGTATCTAGCCATGCCTTCCTGTCAGTGGCTTTAGCTGTTAGGCAAGGTTCTATCAGTGGTGTAGAGGTAGCTATAGAAGTCTACCTCTCAGCAGAAAATTAGAATGCCAGATGAGTGTAGGTGTAGCAGAATATCAGATGAGACACAACATACGCTCCATCATTCTCTTTGTAAGACAAACTTGGATCCCTACTAGTCATTTTCTCTGTCATTAAGATAACGGGTAGCTGGGTGGTGGTTGTCCTTGTGGCCTAAGGATATCTTTAGCCTTGTCCCTTTACTGCAGATGTCCTGCCTTTTTATCTGGGGCTGAGACTTCCTTACTCTGATATAGAGCTTTGAACCAGTTTGAACCAGTTCAGTCATGGCCAATGAAGCAAAACCAGGACAGACCCGAATTTTTACCATTTGGGTAAACCAGAAGGATAACCAAATGGGAAAAATTACAGGTCGAAGCTCTGGAATGAGAAACTTGGAAGAGGCATAATGAGCCTTTTCAGGAGCTTAGTGTGTGAGATTGGATTATTGGCAGGACTATGAAGAGTGACACACACGCAAAATGGCATGGTCGACTGCCATCTTTGAGCGGGGCACGGCTGTTTCGGACTTTGCTCAAAACCTGACAAGCAAGAGATTTGGTTGCTATGCAATGCATATGCTACCCTTGTTTTCTACAAGGGAGATTAGCTTTCTAGCAGGACTTCGACCCGTAATTTTTCACATTCCAACTATCATTCTGGTTCACCTAAATTTTAAAAATTCTAGTCTGTTCCAGTTTTGCTTCCTTGGCCATGACTGAACCAGGAAGAACTGGTTCAAAGCATTGCTCTGATGGCAGTGACTTTCTTGTTGTTGTTAGCTGCCCTCTGGTCAGCTTCCAACTCATGGTGACCCCATGCACAATGGAATGAAGTGCTGTCTGGTCCTGTGCCATCTTCATGATCAGTTGCACATTGGACTACTGTGATCTGTAAGATTTTCATTGGGTCATTTTCAGAAGCGATCACCAGATCTTTCTTCTAGTCTATCTTAATCTAGAAGCTCCGCTGAAACCTGTTCAGCATCATAGCAACACACCACAAGCCTCCACTGACAGACGGTGGGGCTGTTCATGAGGTGCATTGGCCTGGGTATCCTGCATGGAAGGCAGGCATTCCACCACTGCCCCTAGAGGCTTTCTTAGGATATGGCAAATCAGCATGACTACCCTAAATCTTGTTATACAAGGGTCTTTAATGACAGTGGGTTATCATGTAGGGTGGAGGATAAGACAGTTGGGAAATATAAGAGGAGGTAGGTCATTTAAAAAAGAGCTTTGAAGCTTGTATATGAACACTTAGCCCATATGTTCCTTTATTGTCACTAATGAAAAGATGCCTCTCCCAGAGTTCCACCTGTACTCTCCTCTTCATTAACCTCATGGTTGATTTTAAGGTTATTATTTAAAATAGTTGATTTTCTTAAAGATTGTATTTGATTTTCATTTCAACCTGACTTAGTTATTAAAAAACATAGAGGAGAGTATTTATTATGTGTGTGTATGTTTGTGTGTGTGTGTATTTAGTGGGTGGGGATGGATTGCAACAGCTTTTCATCAAAGCCCTAGCCACCTTATGCTCATTTTTACTCAGTAGCCTCTCTTAGTGCTTAACAGCTCGGCTGCTAACCGAAAGGTCAGCAGTTCAAATCCACCAGCTGCTCCTTGGAAACCCAATGGGGCAGTTCTACTCTGTCCTACAGGGTCGCTGTGAGTCAGAATCGACTTGATGGCAATGGGTTTCTTTTGGTATCCTCTCAGGAACTTTAAGGACCTCACCAGTGAGAAAACAAATAGGGTGACAGTAAGTTACTGAACCTAGAAGTTCTCTTGAGACCTTACGGCAAATAATAGTTAAATACCTACAGAGAGTTCTCTGATAGTTGACCAAAAGCTCTGCCCTCTACTGTGTAAACATAGCAAGTTTTTCTAACAGTAACTGTATGTGTATATATTGCTGTCATTGTTATTGTCTCCAGATGAAATAGAACAGCCCCCAAATGATGACTACAGTGGTCCACATTAATTTGAACAAGAGGAAAAAAGCAGCATAAGTTTTCAGTGCCTCTACAATCACATATTGTTGTTAATTTCCTGAAAACTTAATTTTAGATGAAGTGTAATTGCAGATTTCCTTAAGAACCATTGACAGACACTTATCCTAGGTTATAAGCAACTCACACTGAGAAATGTGTGCAAACATTTAACATTTTCTCCCAGAAGAGTATACTTCAGTAGAACCCAGTATTCACCGGTCTTTTTTTTGTTTTTTAAATAACAGAGCCATTGAAGCTCAAAGTAGAAGTTTGGAGAACGTTCCTTTTTGCTACTTGATTTTTAAGAGATTAACATTCCAGGAACCTCCACTGGTTTTCAGCAAGTGACATCAGTCTTTGATAAGTATCATCTCAAGAGACCTTACAACCTTTGGCTAAGGGGGCTGCATTTTTTTTTTTAATTGTTGTAATTAAATGAAGTTTACATTTCAAGTTAGTCTCCCATACAGAATTTTTTTTTTTTAATACGTTGTTATGAGACCCCAACTGCTCACCCCATTCAGTGACAGCACACTCCTCCCCTCCGCCCCTGATTCCCCATGAAGATTCAACCAGCTCCTAACCCTCTCTGCCTTCCCATCTCACCTCTGGACAGAAGCCGCCCCTTTGGTCTCTTGTATCTACTTGTCTAAGAGGCACATTCTTCACAAGTATCACTTTATGTCCTACAGTCCAGTCCAATTCGTCTGAAGAGTTGGCCTCAGAAATTGTTTTAGTTCTGGGGTGATGGAGAGACCAGGGGCCATGCTTTCCGGGGCGCCACCAGTCTTAGTCAGAAGGGGGCTGCATTTTGAATGAGATAGTAAACTAGATAGTAAATAGTGGTGTTATTTAGGTATTGGCATTGGATAATTGAGAGGGGGCTTTCTTACTAGATTTTTCTTTTCTTTTAATTGTTAGGTGGTCTATTTAGTGCCACTGTGTTTCTTCTTCCTAAATGGTAAACTCCTGAACGTGGTGACAAGTTCTACAGAGGAGAATAGGAATTTCTCTTTAAAAAAAATCATCTTGCCAGTGTGCTTTAATTGGGGGGAGGAGGAAGAGGGTTTGAATTTATCAAATAGCAAAGCCAGAAATAATTCTGGGCATAATCATTCAAAACAGTTGGTTTGCTTGTATCAGACATTTTGACAACGTTGTTTAAAAAAAAAAAAAGCAATTGATATTTTAAATACTGCATTTCACAGTGGAATCAGTTTGGAAATGGCAGAATTTTTTAGAATAGTCAAATTTCTGTAGCCAACATTTTGGCTGATTTCACTTCATTGTTATTATAACTGTCAGTTGATCCTGTAGAGAATTAACAGTCCCATATTTTTGCTGTCTTTCTCTTTGAAAAAATAAAAATAAATATGGGGTCATGGCTTTAGCAAAGAAGGGACAGTTGCCTGTAGCAGAAAAAAATGTACATAATAAGTAAATAGCTGTGTGAAGTAGTCATTTCAGAATTGTATGCAACATGTGAAATGTTTAGGTGCAAGAGCTTAATGAGTAGTATTTGGAGACATTTCTTTAATGTTCCATCCCTCACAACTCAAATTAATGTCTATTACTACTCTTTCATATTGCCAAAATATTTTCATGTATTTGGATTAGAAGCAGCTTGTTCTGACTTGTTTCGAAACTGTGTTTCAAGAAACAAAGTGATGTTTAGAAGGTTTTTGTATGTCTTAGAAGCCTTAATTATCTTACTTACCTTGAAGGAGGAAATAAGATCAAGTTCTGTTTTATAGTTATATAAGAAAATAAGAGTTCATACTATGCTAATTTTATATTATCATATAATTAATGTCTTTCAGGCAATTTGAATCAGTGATTCTTGGGTTAGCTGTTAAATAATTAGCAATCTAGAGTCTACTTTAATTTGAAGAGGACACTATTGGTCCAGAACTACTTGGGTGGGCATTTATTTTGGATTATTAGATGTTTGCCCTGACCTTTCCTTTTTTCTCCCCTCTCTCCACAGATTGGTGAAAGACAACAAGTGTTAGTAACAGAAGAGTCTTTTGATTCCAAGTTTTATGTTGCACACAATCGATTCTATGAGCAGGTAAGAGACACTTCAGTATTCTTGGGTTTTCTCCAAAATGAGAAAGAGATCTGAAAGTAAATCAATTTAAGTAAAAGGGAGACGCTTCTAGAATCTTGCAGCATCAAGGCTATTTTATAGCATCAAACCAGCCACGCTGACATGGGGTTTTATCTTTGTGGGTTATCTACAATGCATTCTACACCACAGAATGAGTGTATTTTGTGGTTTTAGTCCATACTAATCTTTGACAGGACTAGTTTGGGGATTTTGGGGAGTTTGGAACCATACAATTAGCACTGCCCTAACTCCCAGAGCCTGGCAAAGTGGGGGAAAAAGTCCTGCTCATAAGACAGGAAGGATGCCAGCATGGAAGACATTAGTGTGAAGGGCAGGGATTTCCTTAGCTGTCCTCAGACAGGTTGGTGGTTTTTGTTCTTGGTGGTGGTTGGTTTTTTTTAGTTTTGTTACTTTTACTGTTTTAAAATTTCTACCTTGACCAAAATGCTGGGAGCAAAGCAAAAAAAGTGTACCCCTTAGGCTCAACTGAAATTGTGTGAACAACCCTGGAGACCAGTGTGAAGATCAAACCAAAGTTCACTTTAGAAGTTTTGTAGGTCAGCCTGGGGACTCCTTGCTTCCCTGCCCACGTGAGCTAGCCTGCCTTGTTGCACATGTAGCCAGAGTTCTATTTCAGCATTTGGGATTCTCCTTCGCTCCAGGTGGTAAAGCAATCCAAACGTGACCGAAGAAAACAGAGTGCCTCCTTCAGAGGCATAACCCTGGCATGGGCCAAGGAGGAGATGAGATACACAGACTCCCATGGCAATATAGAGATTTTCATGGTCCTTCCAGGCAAATGGATTTCCTTTTCTTTTTTTGGTAATCCTTTCTCATCAGATGAGAAGTGAATTTTTTTCCTATGGGTCATGATTGGAATTAGAGCTCTGGAAAATTTTTAGGGACAGTGTGGGCAAGTTAAGTAAGGGATGGGCAAGAGAAGCAGACTACCCATGTTAGAAGCTGGGGAAGCAGTAGCTGGCTGATGAGGCCTCCAGTGTTTATGTTCCACACAGAATAATATCAAACTGGGCAGTGGGCCCTTAGGAAACATGGGGGTCACTTACAAAAGCCCAGACTAAACACGCCCTGTTCAATAACCAGTAGACACTACAGTTGAGTAGGATTCCCTATATTCCACATTTGAGCTGAGTCTCTCCCCCATTTTCCATCTCATTAATATACTCCAGAGAGCCATTTTCCTATCCAGGCCAGCCTTCTGCTCAGCCCTGGGGAGGAGCTTGATTGCATTTTGGTTGCCCCCTCCATCTCCTTTCTCTTACCATCTGGGTTTTTGCCTCATCGGGGAACTTTTTTTCCCTTCATTTTAAAGGCAATGGCATGCCTCATTAGCTGTTTCCTCCAATTTAAAGCAGTTGGGCTTTTTCCAATTATTAAAACCAGAGGGGTAAAAACACTGAGCCCTTCATTCAGATCAAGGCAACAGATCAAGGAGGGGGTTTTTCCCCCGAAATAGTACCAAATCTCCCAGGGATAGTTTCCTCCAAAGAGTTTTGTTAAATTTTTATTTTATAAAAACTGATTTAAAAGTACTTTCATGTCCTAATAATGAAAAGCTCCTTCAGTTAGTTAGCTTGCCTTGAGTAACTCACCACCCCCCGAGGTGACCCTCTTCCTATATTCCGATGAAGCAGTGTACTCAGTGGTCATAAAAATCAAACTCAAAAAGACCAAAATCCAGTTTTGCCTCCCAGAAAAATCAGCTGTGTAACTTCTGGCCCTCATCTCACCTTTTTTTTTTTTTTTTTTCTTGTCTCTACAACTAAGCATATCAAAGATTTCATAGGAATTATTTTTCTAAATAAGGTGAGTTCCAGAGGTGAGGATTGTATCATCCAGATATCAAAGTGTTGCTGCATTAGAATCCGTCTATTTATTTTGGATCCTAGCTTGAAAAGATTGGCAAGTAGCTACAGTACTAAAATAGACGTGTGAGGGAGACATAATGCATACAAACTACCTGTAAGTCCTACAGGAGGAGAAACATTTGCTCGAGGTAAACAAGTACTTTTATGAGTAAAATCTAGTGGAAAGAGACCATCTGACAGTTTCCTCTGAACTAGCCAAAGTAAAGTACCCTTCAGAGTAGCTGGTTCTGTATGGAGATAGGCTCTTTCCAGGAGTAACAAACACATGCATTTTATAATAGAGCAAAAGGAATGAATGGCAACCATTCATTAAAGGAGTCATTTAGCTCCAAATACCAATGTTTAGAATATTGAAAAGGTTGCTTTTAAATGTTCTCTCCCCCAGCAAACATGTGCTCATGCATGCGTGCACACACACATACATCTACACACAAGTATGCAGGCTGCTATTTGAAGTGTCTACTCAAACCACTACTCTGACAGCTAGCTTGGAAGATATTAAAAGTAGAACGCTTTCATCAGTGTTGTCTCAGCTTTCTTCATTGCATGGGGCAGCCAAGTACAGAATATCAAAGGCCTGTGCAAAAGTGGCTGGCTGATTGCTGGGGGATTTCCCAGGTCTGCCTTCCACATGCCCTAGGACAGCAGGCATCCTGCAATGAAAAAGCAGTGTCTGCAGCCTGGTAGCTCCTCCTAGAAGTGTCTTCCCTTCCTACTAGGTCCCCAGATCCTTGAGCAGCTGGAGGACAGAGCCCTCTTAGAAGCACCCAGAACTTGGACCACATGTAAGCTTGTGAAATCCTACCCAGTATCTCCAGGTGATCACTGCTATTCTCATGGCTTCCACCATGAGCCCACATCTTAGGGTGCTCCTTTGAGTGAGTGAGGAGTCGCTGGGTAGTGCAAATGGTGGCTGCTAACCAAAAGATCAGAGGTTCAAATCCACCCAGAGGCACCTGGGAAGAAAGTCCTCATGATCTCCTTCCAAAAAATCAGCTGCTGAAAACCCTATGGAGCACATTTTTTCCTCTGACACACATGAGGTCGCCATGAGTCAGAGTTGACTTGAGAGCAACTGGTTTTTTTTTTTTGAGCAAGTGAACAGAATTTTAAATCCTAGAGACAAATGTAAAGAAAAAAGATGTTGCCTCTCTGCCACACAAAATATATTTTATTTTCCATCTGTATTATTATATCTCCCCTCACCCCCCTTTAGCTACTACCATGTCAGACTCCTGGGGGGGGGGCAACCCTTTACTTTGTTATACCCCAAGCTTACATCAGCTGACCATAACAATTTCTGCAGCCAGTCTGGTGAGAGCATTTAGATATTGTACAGTACACATAAAATCCTCTCCATTAAACCTTTTAAAAATGATATTTCCTACCAACACTTACGAAGTACAACATATGAGTAAAAAATGAATATAAATTGTTACAATCAAGAGGAGCCTAAATGACGACTAAATGTAATGTGGTATCCTAGACAGACTTCTAGGACAGAAAAAGGACACGAGAGGAAAATTGAGGAAGGAAAACTGAATAAAGTATGGCCTTAGTTAATAAGGATGTATCGATATTGGTTCATTAATTATGACATGTACCACACTAATGTACAATGTTAACAATAAAGAACTGGGTATGCAATATACAAGAACTGTCTATACTATCTTCTTAATAGTTCTGTGAACCTAAAACTTGTTCTAAAATAAAATGTTTATGGAAAAATAAAAACCAACATAAGCCTTCTGAATTTTTTTTAAGGTATTAGTGCCAAAGAACCCTTCACTCATGGGGAAAATGGTCAAAGTGGACATTTATGAATCAGGAAAGCATTTTATGAAAGGGCAGCCAGTATCAGATGCCAAAGTCTACATGCCATCCATCATCAAACCATTAGCAAAGGGAGAAGTCTCAGGTTTAACAGAGGTGAGTAAAAAAAGATGCGTTCCTCTCTGCCTTGCCAGTGAAGCAGCAGCTGGGGAAGCACAGTGCTTCCAGACCATGCTTCTGTTATCGTTTATAGTTCCCTTTTTATGTATGCTTGAGGCTTTAATCCTTTCTGACAGACTGAAATCTGAATTAGAAAGATGCGTTTTTGCTGATGCCTATAGCTTTGCTTCTCTGTCCACAAAGGGAAATAAGGTGTTTCTACTTCCAGGCTATAAGCAGAGGGCAAAAGCTATTATATGCAAGTGAAAGATTTTACACCGAAGATGATCTGATCCAGTATGTTTCTGTGTCAGTAGATCCTGAATGGAAGGGGGCGAGGAAAGGAAGGTTTTCTTGCTTTATAAACTGTTTATAAAATAGCAAAAACCTCCAGCTGAACAGGTACTAAACCATATCATTATATGTTGCTATTACGGTGCCTTTCTCTAGGGTGTTAGCTGCATATCTGCTTTAGTCATGTGGAGTGAAAATTAAACATTTTTTTTTCTTTCTGTAAAAAAAGTAACCTGACCCCTATTTTAAACCTTGGTAAATATGGCCGTTTGCCAAGCTCTCTCTCACATTTCATTGAGCTACAGTTGTAAAAGCTGATGGAGTGTGAAATGAAAATGTGTATCACATTTCTAAGCATCATTTGATGTCCTTTCTTCAACGCAATTGTTAGTGCTCCCCTAAAAAAAAAAAAGTATATAGCAATGACTTCACAGACAGAAAAAAGGTTACTGATATTTATCCGGCCACATAATTCCAAAATTGTTTCAATCTATGTATTATCTTTTCCCTCAAAATAAATTGCAAGAGTATATTAATTAAAACAAAGGAAGTATAGCTTTCCTTTGGCGATAGTGACAAAGGGTACTCTTATCTCTATTATCACTTACTGTGATGGACTCCTGTATCCCAACATGAGTGACACCTTCATGAGCTTGAGAAGTATGGGTGAAAAATCTGTATGCATACTACCTGCCTGAGAATGGAATGGAATAGACTAGCCTTTGTCAAAACCTTGCCAAGTGTATCTTCCTCCTCTATCAGCAATGAGCTCTAAAACTCGATAAGCATAACCATTGATTTTTGCTGTTGTTTTAAAAAAAAATCATAGTTGAGGAGGGTTGGGATGGAGGGCCAGGGAGGAGCAGTGTAATCCAGTATTTAAATTATATTCCTAGGGATTTGACTTTTGATATGTTGGCTAATCCTTGAGATATGTTGAAGGCAATTGGCTTATTTTTTTATTTTTCTACATAGCATGTGTTATAAAGGTTGATTTTTAAATTGCCACAGTGAGAAGGATTTTCAATAGTGGGCAAATTATGATTTCAAAGATCCTGCCTGAAATTTAATGCCTTTGTATATACCTCTTGCAAAGGGTGACTTACTGACAAAATCATCATTCCAGGTTGCCGTTGAGTCAGCTCCAACTCATGGCCACCCCATGTGCGTCAGAGTAGAACTGTGCTCCACAGGGTTTTTGATGGCTGATTTTTCAGAAGTAGATCACCAGACTTTTCTTCCGAGGCACCTCTGGGTGGACTTGAACCTCCAGCCTTTTGTTTAGCAGCCAAGCACATTAGCTATTGCCCCACCCAGGAACCCCAAAATAATAATATAAAAATTATTACTTTCAAAAAAGAGCAGCCTCATTTAAATTCTGTGGGACTTTAATTAGTACTATTAACTTAGCATTTTCTTAGCCTCTTCTAATCTTCCCTCCCCCCAATCCAGCCTAGGAGATGGTATTGTCATCAATTCCACCACAAGCCCTACTCTGAGCCAAGATGACCCCAAAAGTCCTAGGTGAGATGAGGATATGGTCAGTGGCTTCCTGGGCCTCTGGAAATAGAGTGTACATGAGGCCAAAGGGTTAGGAAGATCGATTCAGGTATTTACATTAAGGGAAACATAAGGCAAGTCTTTTACCACTGTGTGTGACTTCGTATAAATTAATGAACATTGCTCTATGTTTCATAATTATTTGTTAGCTTTTAAAGATAAGCCAAACTCATTGGGGTTGAAAGGCCTTATTTAATGACTTTGTCCCAGTGTTACAAGTGTTTTTGCTGATGATATTAACCAAAACGAAATATGTAAGCAGAAAGAGAACAGCTCCACGTTTTGTAGGATTTTAATGTAGATTTTAATTTTAACGTAGATAATAGAGGTTACAATCATGTCAAAGGCATTTTGAGTTCTTTGAACACTGATGAAGGTGCTGGAACTCTTGAATAGAGAAATCACCCTAACTTGGTGTGGATGAAGCATGACCTTCAGGGTGAGATAAACCTGGATTTGCATCCGGACTGCCCAGTTTTACCTGGGCACATGACTTCTGAGCTTCAGTTTAGTCTGTTAAATGGGAATAATGATGTCTGTCGTAGGATTGTTGAAAGGAATACATTCAATAGTGTATGTAAACCACCTAATAAAAACCAAACCAAACCCGTTGCCACCAAGTCAATTCCAGCTCATAGCAACCCTATAGGACAGAGTAGAACTGCCCCAGAGGGTTTCCAAGGAGCAGCTGGTGGATTTGAACTGCCAGCCTTTTGGTTAGCAGCCAAGCTTTTATCCACTGCGCCATCAGGGCTCCAACCACTTCATACTACTATATAAAAACCAAAACCAAACCCATTGCCGTTGAGTCAATTCCAACTCAGTAACCCTGTAGGGCAGAGTGGAACTGCCCCATGGAGTAAACACTGGTACATAGGAAGTAGTTACTAAGTGCTTATTTCCCTTTCCCTCCAAATCTAGTTGCATCTAAAAGAAGAGCAGACTCTGATGATGGCTTTGGTACTAACAATTTTGTGTTTGTTGATTTTCTTAGCCATGATCATGCAATACAAGTTTGAAATTTTGGGTTTGTTTTTCTTTTTGAGAATTTCTCTTCTAGGATACTCTATTCAGTGCCAGGGGAATGAGTCCCATCAGAATTTCTACCTTTCTGAATTTTCTGGGCTTTTCTTGAGTTTTCATAGAATGATAACCTCTCCCTATATTCTTTGTAAAGAAGTCTATACAGGCCAAAACATCTAAAGCAAAATATTGTGTTAAATATTCTTTTCCATAGTAAATGCATTTCTTTAGTTGAGATTTTTATGATTATTCTTTAAGTATTTAGCTCTACACTACTTTGGACTTATTTCCTCTCACCCTAGGCCCTATAACCTCTTTTGATAAAACTGGTGAGAGGTACACCAGCCTAGGGGGAGAAACACAAGGCAAGGAGTCATGAGATCTAGATTGTAGGGCTCTGGGTCTTGTGGTAACAGACTTTGTGGTCTTTTGTACGTCACTTGCATGTTCCCTGAATTATGTGCCCTGAACCTCAGTTGTGTCACATGTAAAATGGCAATAAATAGTGGTCATTAAGGAATCTTCTAGTGCTAAGAGTCTATGATTGAAATATTTCATTTGACAAAAATGTATGGAATACCTACTCTGTGGCCGGCATGGAATCCTATAAATATTAATAGAAATCAGGCCTTGTTATTTTCACATTTTATAATAAGTAAATGCCCATAGCATGGTGGATAGCTAGCTGTAATAAGGTCAAAAGGTTACTGCCTTCTAAGAAATTATATTTTTATGGAAATGGAATACAGTAACTTTTTTTTATGATTATTAAATCAAACTTTCCAGTTTGATTAGAAGAATGGAGAATGACAAAAGGGGAAAAATAGGAAAGGGAAACAATATTAGTCTGGTTATTTTTAGAGAAGACGGAAGCCAAAATGCCACCTCCAACCTAATAGGGAGCATTTTTGAACAAGTATTGTTTACGGATAATTAATTTCAGAAAAAGAGTGTGTAATAATTATTCAATGGAAGGCATCATAGAGCGTAGAGGGATAACTATAAATCAAAGCAAGAGTGGATCATGAGCTTTTCTGTGAAAGCATCAAAGGACTTTGTTCTTAGGATAGGAGAGGGAGGGGGCAGATGGGGGCATACATTTTCATAGATGTTGTAGGACAGTAGTTCTCAAAGTGTGGTCCCAAGACTAGCAACATCAGCATCATCCGGGAATTTGTTACAAATGAAGACTCTCGGGCCCCACCCCAGACCTCCTTAATCAGAAACTCTGGAAGTGGGGCCCAGCAGTCTGTTTCTAAAAGAGCCCTCCAGGTGATACCAATGCACTCTGAAGTTGGAGAACCACTTTTCTAAGAAAATGATTCTCAAATGGGGAGGAGTGTTTGCTATTTGTAAAAGCATTTTTAGTATTTTAATGTTATAATGCCAAACTTTTACAGTGCCAGCTTCAGAAAATAGAGGTAAACAGCTTCTTGGATGATGGAGATTGTCTCTCATCTATGTATTATAAAATTGATGATGGGGATAGGCAAAAGTTTGGGTGGGATGTATGTCTGCACACCTGGTTAATGAAAGGGGCTAGAGGAATAGGAAACTTAAGAAAAACACAGTTTTAAGATGTTAAGGGCATTGATATTTTTACCATGATCTCACATGGAACCTAAATTTGTGGTAACATATTCTGTTTAATGTGAGAATATCTTTGTACAATTGAGATTTGCTTGGAAAATCGCTAGGCTGTTCAGCCATTCCATCTGAAAAAAAAAAGAAACACTATGGTAAACAGGGCCTAGTCAACTGTACCAAACTCATGACCATTTGATAGTATGAAAAATTATCTGAGAGCCATCATCAGAAACTGAGATCAATGAGTTTATTGTTTTAACTCTTTCTTGTGGAAAATGTCAAGCATGTACAAAAGTAGAGTGAATAATATAATAACCCATGTACTCATCAAAAACCCCAACCAAACTCGTTCCCATCAAGTCGATTCTGACTCATAGCAACCCTATAGGACAGAGTAGAACTGCCCCATAGGGTTTCCAAGGAGTGACTGATGGATTCAAACTGCCCATCTTTTGGTTAGCAGCCAAGCTCTTAACCACTGCGCCACCAGGGCTCCACGTGCCCAGCTTTAATAAGTATCAACTCATGGCCAGTCTTATGTCATCTATGTTGTTGTCTGCCCTTCACCTGATTATTATGAAGCAAATTTTATTTCATCTATAAATATCCCAGTAAATATCCCTAAAAGATGAAGACTCCTTTTTAAAGCATACTCACAATATATTATTAAATCTAAAAATAATTAACATTCATTCCTCAGTGCCATCAAATATCTAGTCCATGTTCAAATTTTCCAGTTTTTTTATGTTTGATTCAGGATACAAAAAAGGTCTACACATTACAATTACTATATTTTGTAAGTCACTTTTAATTTATAGGTTCTCCCTTTTTCTCACTTTTTTCTTTTTGTTATTGCAGTTTATTTGTAGAAGAATCCTTCTTGTTCGTCCTGTGGCGTTTCCCACAGTCTAGATCTTGCTAATTGCATCCTCCGGTATTATTTAACGTGTTTCTCTGTTCTCGTGTGTGTTTTATAATTTTCTGGTTAGATTTAGAGCCTTAATCAGATTCAAGTTTGATTTTGTGACAAAACTATTTCCTATGGTGCTGTGCACTTCCATCATGAGGCATAGAATATAATATCTCTCTTTACGATGTTAACAGCAGTTGATGAACGTTGCCTGGATTCATTCACTCATTAGTGGTTGCAAAACAGTGACATGATGATTCTCTTTCCTTCTGCATTTATTAGCTAAAAGTATTTCGTGAAGACAAATTTTCTCTCATCAACTCTTCGTTTACCCTGAGGTACTGTTCATATATGGGAGGCAGGATAAATGCTTTCCTTCTGTTTGCCAGTTTTAAGTATTTGAGTTGGTTCTCTAGCATTCTCCAAACGCTACCAATGAAGGTTTTTGTTTTGTTTTAGTATTGTTATAAACTCATGGATTTTTACATATCTGATGTGTTTTTATCCATCGTGTTATTATTTTTAATCGATGCTCAAATTGTTGCATTTTTGAACAGTGGAAGCTCTTCAAATTGGTTCATCAATCCTTTTCATATAGCTCCTGAAGTCTTTTGTTAGTTTCTTTGTTTTCTGGTGTGATAAGATGTTCCAAGCTCATCTTGGACATTCTGTGCTCCAGACCTGAAATCAGCCATGTCTCTAAGGAGCCAGCCCAGGTTTCTTTATTTTTCTTTTAAATGTTTTCATCATTACATTTTAATTTCTCATTCAAAAATTTATACACATATTGTTTTGTGACATTGGTTGCAATCCCCACAATGTGACAGCACACTTTCAACCCTGGGTTCCCTGTATCCATTCGTCCAATTCCGGTCCCTCCCTGCCTTCTTGTCTTGCTTTTGGGTAGGAGTTGCCCATTTGGTCATGGATATTTGATTGAATTAAGAAGCATGTTCCTCACATGTGTTATTGTTTGTTCTATAGGCCTGTCTAACATTTGTCTGAAAAGTAGGCTTCGGGAGTGGTTTCAGTTCTGAGTTAGCAGAGTATCTGGGCCCGTAGTCTCAGGGGGTTCCTCTAGTCTCTGTCAGAATAGTAAGTCTGGTTTTTTTTTCATGAATTTGAATTCTGTTCTACACTTTTCTCCCATTCTGTCTGGGACTCTCTGTTGTGATCCCTGTCTGAGTGGTAGGTGGTGGTAGCTGGGCACCATCTAGTTCTTCTGGGCTCAGACTGATTCATGTGGTCCTTTAGTCCTTTAGGGTAATATTTTCTATGTGTCTTTGGTTTTCTTCATTCTGCTTTCCTCTGGATGGGATTGGACCGATAGATGTATCTTAGATGGCGTCTCAAAAGCTTTTAAGACCCAAGCACTACTCACCAAGGTGGGATGTAGAGCATTTTCTTTATGAACTCTTATGCCAGTTGACCTAGATGTTGCCCGAGACTATGATTCCCAGCCCCCAGCCCCAGCAACTCGGTCATTCAAGGTGTTTGGATGTGTTTAGGAAACTTCCTTGCTTTGCTTTGGTCAGGTGGTGCTGACTTCCCCTATATTGTGTGTTGTCTTTCCCTTTACCAAAGTTGATCTTTTTTCTTGTCTACTATCTAGTTAGTGATTTCCTTTCCCCCTCCCTCCCTACCCTCGTAACCATCAAAGAATGTTATTTTCTGTGTGTAAACCTTTTCTTGAGTTCTCATAATAGTGGTCTTATATAATATTTGCCCTTGTTGTGACTTATTTCACTCAGCCTAATGCCCTCCAGATTCATCCAGGTTGTGAGATGTTTCGCAGATTCATCATTGTTCTTTATCATTGCATAGTATTCCATTGTTTGTATATACAATAATTTGTTTATCCATTCATCTGTTGATGGGCATTTAGGTTGTTTCCATCTTTTTGCTACTGTAAATAGTGCTGCAGTGAATGTGGATGCGCATACGTCTAGTCATGTGGCGGCTCTTTTTTCTCTAGTTTATATTCCTAGGAGTGGGATTGCTGGATCATATGATATTTCTGTTTCTAGTTAAGGAAGCACCATATCGTTTTCCAAAGTAGTTTTACCATTTTACATTCCCACAAGCAACGCGTAAGGGTTCCAATCTCCCCTCAACCTCTCCAACATTTGTTACTTTGTGTTTTTTGGATTAGTGCCAGTATTGTCACAGCCCAGGTTTCTTTTAGTGAAAAATGGTATTTAGAAACTACAAACGAAACAGCCAGAATGCAGTTAAACAGAATGTTGACACATTGTGAAAAATGTAACTAATGTCGCTGAGCAATTTGTGTAGAAATTGTCAAATGGGAGCCTAATTTGCTTTGTAAACTTTCACCGAAAACACAATAAATTTTTTTTTTTTAAAAGAAAGAAACTACAGTAGGGGCAAACACTGATTGTTATCAGATTGGTCATTTCTTTTATGCTTTTTGGTGAGCAGAGATAGGAAATACATTATTTTTCAATTCATATTAATGCTTTCATCCGGTTCAAATTAAGGAATTTTCTATCTTACCGCTGTAACTTTTCTTCCACATCAAAAATCCTGGTTTCCAGTGATAGAATATAATTATTCATTTGTTTTATCCCATAATACCAATATACCTGTCTAAGAATAAGCAACACAACCACCAACAATATGATCACCAAAAAGCTTAACGTTTTTTTGTTTTTTTTGTTTTTTTGGCAATTGTTTTTGTTCTTAGAGTATATTCTGCTGGGGATGTACAAGCAAACAATGGTTTTAAAGTCACCTAAAAGAGTTCCTCTCCCTACAGCTCTATACCAACAATTCAATACACAATTAAAATAATTTGCTTCATTTTGCTTTTAATTTTGGGTGAGTTTTAAAATTTAATTTTGTTTCATATTTATATAAAATATTTCAATGATTCCAAAATCATATCTACAAAGGTATATTCAGAGAAGTCTAGCTTCTACCCCTGTTCTCTCCATCCTTTCCTTCTCTTCGTTGTTTACTTTTTTTCTCTTAGATTTCAGTTTACCTTCCATCGATTCGTTTTAACAATGTAAACAAATACAGTAAAACCTGCCAAAGCAGGAACCTGTTTAAGGTGGGAACCTGTCAGAGAAGGAAAACTAAAATATTTTCCACTACAACGAGCAATAGAAAAGTGGTAAGACTGCCCCCTGTCAAAGGTGGAAAACATGTAAGACCAGGAAAAACAAGGCAGTCCTGTTGAGTTCCAGATCTCACAGGCTTCACTGTATATACATCTTCTTTATCCCTACCATTCTAGATAAATGGTGGACACTTTTCCCTGTCTTGCTTTTTTTCACTTAATGATATATCCTGAAGGGTACTGCCTAGCAGTATATAGAGATTTGATGAATGTTTTTAACGTTTTTTGTTGTTTTATGCTTTTAAACAAACTATATGAAAGTCTATGTTGCTCTGGTACCTGCGATGAATGATACTATCCTCCATGAAATCAACAGCTTTTTGGTCAAAGAAAAATAGGCAGTCACCTTAAAGAGTCTTCCGGTTCCCAGGCCTGCAGAAGTGGACTGCAATCTGGTGGAAGGCATTTAAGGTGACCAAAGAAATAACAGGCCAGTCATGGTAGGAACGGTCAGCCAGAAGCCAGCATCAGCAGTGAACACGTTTCCCGGGAGAGAGGACACTTGGGCCAACGGACTTCAAAAAGTCTGAAGATCATCTTAAGATCATCATGAATGCATCTATTTAGCCTAGCCTGGTACTGTTCTTCATTTGCTTCATTTAATGCCTTTTGTTGAATCCATGCTCACCAGGCAACCTAATTATAATTTGCCTTTCTATGGAAATCTTATGATAAGAAAATAGAAGTATTCTGTTTTCATCAGTTAATAAATTGTCATTCTGGTTTTATACACTGGTCTCCTGTGTCCATCCCTGTGGTCTTCTCTGTGGATGCTGAGCTTTCAAGGCTGTGAGCCAGACCAACCCTGGGCCATGTTGAATTTACCCAGGCAACAAATGCCACCTCATGTGGCCTCTTGAGAGATAGCAAGTGGGGTTTTCCCCATTCAGTACCCACTGTACATTGTTATTAGCCAAACACTCTGTGCCTAGTAGTAAGACTCAAAGCCAACGTTTTTTGTTGTTGTTGTTGTAATTAAATGACGTTTACATTTCAAGTTAGTCTCCCATATAAAATTTTTATACATACATTGTTTTGAGACCCTAACTGCTCACCCCATTCTGCAACAGCACCCTTCTCCTTTCCGCCCCTGATTCCCCATGACCATTCAACCAGCTCCTAACTCTCTCTGCCTTCCCATCTAACCTCTGGATAGAAGCCGCCCCTTTGGTCTCTTGTATTTACTTGACTAAGAGGCACATTCTTCACGAGTATCACTTTATGTCCCACAGTCCAGTCCAATCCCTGTCTGAAGAGTTGGCCTTGGAAATTGTTTTAGTTCTGGGCTGATAGAGAGTCCAGGGGCCATGCTTTCTGGGGCACCTGCAGTCTTAGTCAGACCATTAAGTCTGGTCTTCTTACTAAAATTTGAGTTCTGCACCCCATCCTTCTACTGCTCCATCAGGGACTCTCTGTTGTGTTCCCTGTCAGGACGTTCATTGGTGGTAGCCGGGCACCATCTAGTTCTTCTGGTCGCAGGTTGATGAAGTCTCTGGTTTATGTGGCCCATTCTGTCTCTTGGGTTAATACTTTCCATGTGTCTTTGGT